GGAATGGCACCTGTGCTGTGCTGCGACGGCGCATGCATGGGGCGGCCCCGGTGCAGCCGCACCCCTGAGCACTGGGAATGCAGAGGGAATGCGTCAGGAAAGCGGCAGAAATGCAGCGGAAATGCACTGGGAATGCAGCGGGAAAGCAGAGGGAATGTGACGGGAATTCATTGGAAATGCATTGGGAATGCATTGGGAATGCATTGGGAATGCAGCGGGAATGTGGCGGAAATGCAACAGGAACGCTACATGCAGCTCCTGGCGCTGCGGCGCCTGCAAATGCAGCGGCTGCAGCCTGGGGGCACGGTGCTGCATTGGGGCGCAGGCAGCAGTCGCCCGCTGCAGGGCTGCATCCCAGGCTGCAACAGTGCAGCCGGTGCCACCCCCCGCAGCGGGCGCAGGGCSACGGGATGCATTGCAGCTGCAGCAGGTTGGGCGGGGAGGAGGGCTGTGCATGCAGCGCCCTGCGGCTGACGCTGCCGCGTGTCCCCTGCAGCATGCGGGTGGTGGTGGAGGACGCCACGAGCTCGGCGACCGTGGTGCTGCGGGTGCAGCCGCACACCACCATTGCAGCGCTGAAGCAGCAGGTAGGGAGCGGCGGCGGCGGCGCGGTGCAGGGCTGCGCGGGAGCGGGGATGCGCTGCGGATGCAGCAAATGCGGGCGGGGAGATGGGAGGCGCTGCAGCTGCAGCAGCTGTGGGCGGGGAGATGGGATGCACCGCGGATGCAGGCGCATGGGGCGCCGCTTCCTGCAGCCCCATGCAGGTTCCCTTGACTCGTGCATGAATGCATGGGGCTTGCTGGGCATGAGGGCCGGGTGCAGGGCTGCGGGGAGCACCGGGCGCGTGGCGGCGAGCGCTGCTGCAAGCTGCTGCAGGATGCTGCGAGCCGCTGCAAGCTGCTGTGAGCTGCTGCAAGCTGCTCCGAGCTGCTGCAGGATGCTGCAAGCCGCTGCAAGCTGCTGTGAGCTGCTGCAGGATGCTACGAGCTGCTGCAAGCTGCTCCAAGCTGCTGCAAGCTGCTCCAAGCTGCTCTGAGCCATTGCAAGCCTCTGCAAGCCACTGCAAGCTGCTGCGAGCTGCTTCAAGCTGCTTCAAGCTGCTGCAAGCTGCTGCAAGGTGTTGCGAGCTGCTGCAAGGTGTTGCGAGCTGCTGCAAGCCTCTTTGAGCTGCTGGAAGCTGCTGGAAGCTGCTGCAAGGTGTTGCAAGGTGTTGCAAGCTGCTGCAAGCCACTCAGAGGTGATGCAAGCTGCTGCGAGCCGCTTCAAGCTGCTGCAAGCTGCTGTGAGCTGCTGCAACCTGCTGCGAGCAGCTCCAAGCTGCCACAACCCACAGCAACCTGCTGTAAGCTGCTCCGAGCCGTTGCAAGCTGCTGCAAGCTGCTATGATTTGCTCCAAGCTGCTGCAAGCTGCTCTGAGCTGCTGCAAGCTGCTGCGATATGCTCTGAGCCGCTGAAACCTGCTGCAAGCTGTTGCAAGCTGCTCCAAGCCACTCCGAGCTGCTGCGGGCTGTTGCAAGCTGCTGCAAGGTGCTGTCAGCTCCTGCAAGCTGCTGTGAACTGCTGCAAGCTGCTGCGAGCTGCTGCGATCTACTCTGAGCCGCTGCGAGCTGCTGCAAGCTGCTGCGAGCTGTTGCAAGCTGCTGCAAGCTGTTGCAAGGTGTTGCAAGCTGCTGCAAGCTGCTGTGAGCTGCTGCAAGCTGTTGCAAGCTGCTGAGAGCTGCTGCAAGCTGCTGAGAGCTGCTGCGAGCTGTTGCAAGCTGCTGCAAGGTGTTGCAAGCTGCTGCGAGCTGTTGCAAGCTGCTGCGAGCTGTTGCAAGCTGTTGCGAGCTGCTGAGAGCTGCTGAGAGCTGTTGCAAGCTGATGCAAGCTGCTGAGAGCTGCTGCGAGCTGCTGCAAGCTGCTGCAAGGTGTTGCAAGCTGCTGCAAGCTGCTGCAAGCTGCCCCGTGCCCCCGCAGGTGTTCGAGGAGTTCGGCTTCCACCCGCTGGTGCAGCGCTGGATCATCGGGCAGTGCCTGTGCGCCGACGAGCGCAGCGTGGCCTCGTACGGCGTGCGGCGGCACGGCGACACCGCCTTCCTCTACCTGCTGCTGGCCCGGACGGTGCAGCTCTCGGAGCAGCGCTGCAGGGAGGAGCGGGCGCGCAGCCTGGCGCGCTGCAGCGACGGTGGTGGCRATCGCAAGGCCAGCACGCTGCCCAGCGTGCGAGGTGCGGCGCGTGTTGCATCGGTGGTGTTGCAGCCTTGCGTGGTGCATGGGGTCTGAGCCACTGCAGCCTGCGCTGCATCGGTGCTGCTGCAGCCCGGCGTGACGCATTGGGGTCTGAGCCCCTGCAGCCTGTGTTGCATTGGTGCTGCTGCAGCCCCGGCATGATGCATTGGTGTTGCTGCAGCCGGTGCTGCATTAGGGTCTGATMCCCYGCAGCCTGTGCTGCATCGGTGCTGGCGCGGCCCGGTATGATGCATCGGTACCTCCCCCCCCCTGCAGCCTGCGCTGCATCAGTGCTGCTGCAGCCTGGCGTGCTGCATGGGGCCTGGTTTCCTGCAGCCTGCGTTGCATTGGTGCTGCTGCAGCCCAGCATGATGCATTGGTGTTGCTGCAGCCTGTGCTGCATTAGGGTCTGATCCCCTGCAGCCTGTGCTGCATCGGTGCTGGCGCGGCCCGGCATGATGCATCGGTACCTACCCCCCCCGCAGCCTGTGCTGCATCGGTGCTGCTGCAGCCTGGTGTGCTGCAAGGAGCCTGATCCCCTGCCGCCTGTGTTGCATTGGTGCTGCCGCAGCCCAACGCGATGCATCAGTTCTGCTGCAGCCTGGCGTGATGCATCAGTGTCKGCTCCCCTGCCACCTGTGATGCATTGGTGCTGCTGCAGCCATGTGTGCTGCATCGATGCATAGCCCCACTGCAGCCCGCGCTGCATAGATGCTGCTGCGACCTGACGTGCTGCATCAGGGTCTCCTCCCCTGCAGCCTGTGCCGCATTGGTGCTACTGCGGCCTGGCGCATTGCATCGGTGTCTGCTCCCCTGCAGCCCATCTGCAGCGTGCGGGGGCGGGGGGGGKGACAATGCGCCTTGCAGCGTGTCCTGCAAGCGTGCAGCATGCCCTGCTTGCTGGTGTGGGTGCAAAGGCTGCAGTGCTCCTGGTGCATGGGGTCCCATGCAGTGCAGGGAGGCCCCACTGGTGACCCGGGCTCCGCTGCAGGCAGCAATGCAGCCAGCACTGCAGGGCTGTGGGGAGGCCGTTGCATGCAGCACTCCCGGCTTGCCGCAGGCTCCTGCATGCAGTGCAGCCCCTGCATGCAGCCTTGCCTTGCAGCGGGCAGCAGCAGGCGGCAGGACGCAGGTGACATCAACCACCAGCTGGACACGCTGCAGCTCAGCGACCCCTTCGGGGACGACCTGCGGGTGCAGGTAATGCAACATGCTGCACGGGAGCCCCCCCGCACCCATGCAGCTTTTCCTGCACCGGCAACCTGCATCCTGTGCTCCGCAGGCGGGCTGGTCGTGCCCCAAATGCACCTTCATCAACAAGCCCACGCGGCCGGGCTGCGAGATGTGCAGCGCCGACCGGCCCGCCGACTACGTGGTGCCCGACAGCTACACGCCCGACGCGGCGGAGCTGCGGCGCATGCAGCAGGAGCAGGAGGCYGTGCTGCAGTACCAGCAGGTAGCGGCGCCCGCGGGGATCCTCTGCTGCAGGATTKGCATGCACTGGGGTTGCAGGCGCCMGACCCCGTTGCGCGGTGCCCGCCCTGCTTCTCGGGCCCTGGTGCAGCTCSTGCAGCTGGTGCGGGTGCTGCGGTGCATGCACAGCACGTCCAGCTCTAGCGGGAATGCATGGGGGGTGCGTTGCTGCAGCAGCTTGCAGCAGGGCAGGGTGCCGGGTGCAGCCTCCTGCTGCGCCGCAGYGCCCGCAGCTGCAGCCAGTGCTGCAGCCACTAACCGATGCGGGGCTGCCGGGTTCTGCAGCGCGCGGCGCAGCCGCCGCCAGCAGCTGCAGCTGCAGCTGCCCCCATTAAAGCCTCATCCCCAGCGCCCCTGCATGTCCCTGCACTGGCACCGGCGCCCGCGCGTCCCCCCGCCCCGCATCCCCTGCGGCCGGGTGGGCACTGGGTGCAGCGGGGGGCTGCAAGGGGCGGGACTGCCCCTTGCTGCAGCTGCGGATGCATTGCATGGCGGAAGCATTTGCACTTGGGGATGCACTTGCAGTTGGGATGCACTTGCACTGCAGTTGGGGATGCACTTGCAGTTGGGGGTGCACTTGCAGCTGGGGATGCACTTGAACTTGGGGATGCACTTGCAGCTGGGGATGCAGTTGCAGTTGGGGATGCATTTGCACTCCAGTTGGGGATGCACTTGCAGCTGGGGTGCAGTTGCAGCTGGGGATGCAGTTGCAGTTGGATCTGGGCATGCACTTGCAGTTGGGATGCATTTGCATTGCGGATGCACTTGTACCTGGAGATGCACTTGCAGCTGGGGATGCACTTGCACTGCAGTTGGGGATGCACTTGCAGCTGGGGATGCAGTTGCAGTTGGGGATGCACTTGCAGTTGGGATGCACTTCCACTGCAGCTGGGGGTGCACTTGCACTTGGGAATGCACTTGCACTTGGGAATGCACTTGCAGCTGGGGATGCATTTGCACTCCAGTTGGGGATGCACTTGCAGCTGGGGTGCAGTTGCAGCTGCGGATGCAGTTGCAGTTGGGGATGCATTTGCACTTGGGAATGCACTTTCACTGCAGCTGGGGATGCACTTGCAGCTGGAGATGCACTTGCACTTGCAGCTGGGGATGCACTTGCAGCTGGGGATGCACTTGCACTGCAGCTGGAGATGCACTTGCAGCTGGAGATGCACTTGCACTGCAGTTGGGGATGCACTTGCACTGCAGTTGGGGATGCACTTGCAGCTGGAGATGCACTTGCAGCTGGGGATGCACTTGCACTGCAG